CTAATTATGTTTAGAAAAAAAGAAACAGAAACATAAACAATAACTGGATGAAAAATAGTATGACTGAAGCTTAATATTCCTATGATGATGACAACTTTTACTAATATTTTCAGAAGTTGAGTTCCAAAGTGAAGCATACATTGAATTGGGTGAGAAAAAACTCCAACCAAATTCCAAAGGGACACCAAATAAAGTAAAAGCACCAAGAAATAGAGAAGCAATACAAACTCCACAGAGGAAACCCACAACACAAACATGGCAAGGAAATGAACTCCCTAATTGCAGAGACTTCTGAGTGTCTGCTTCCATCTACTCTCTTCTTTCTCATCCAAAATTATCAAATCCCAATAAAAACCCTAAAGCCACTCAAAAGATTTTTATTCTACGACATCATTCCAAACCCAACTACCTTCTTAATTCAAATGACATGATACACATACCCAACCAATACTCTTTATCTTCTCTCTTTTGTGAAAGATTAATATCAGTCTCAACCATCTGTTTTCAATTTAGAAGCACTAAAAAATCTGTGGTTCACCTTCATATCTCTCCTCCCTAATAATCAAAAGGGAAAATCCACAAAAGATCACAATCAGGAAGAAAGAAGGAACAAATAATCTGAATATAAGTTTGCCAATGTAGAAAAGTAGCAAACAATACCCGGAAGATTGAGTTGAATTAGAATAAATCCCAACAGCTAAGAATCAAATACATATAGCCTGAGATTGGGGATTACTAAGAACCTCTTAGTAACTTCTATTTATCTTTCGAATGAAATTGAAGACGGTTGTTTCAGAATCGTCATCAAAGATAGGTGAAAAAAATCCAGATACTTGTATTAAAAAAAAAAAAAATCATACAAATAATTTGAAAATAGAACAAGAAAACATGAATAGATCCACAAAAAGGGGTCTCTTTTCTTCACCTTGCCATACAGAAAATCTAAAGCTCATAACAGAACAAAAATGGATCGAAGAAAATAAAAAAACAAACACAAAAAAGAAAATTAGAAGATATAGTACACAAGGAAGAGAAAAGAGAGGGTAGGCGAGGGGGATTGCGAAAAGAAAAATCAGATCCGAAAATTCCTCCCGGACTATTCTTCATGAGTACCTGATTTGATGTCGCCAGAAAAGGGACCGACGTCGACGGGAGAAGGGCTGCGGGCGGCGGTGAGGAAGACGAGAGAGAAAGAGGCAAATTGGAAGAGCAGGGAGAAACTTCGCGTGTTAAGAAAGACGCGTGTGAGACTTCGGGATACCCACTCCTGAATTGGTTAGGTTAAATCGAACCGAACCGAACCGGTCCGGTCGGTCTGTACATCTATAAATTGTTTTTATTTTATTTTACAAAGTGGGCTGAGTTTTTCTTAAGAAAAAAAAACTTACAAAAATAAGATAGTAAATAAGAAAAAAACTTTGATAAATTAAATTAAATTAAATTTAAAATTGAATATATAATTGAATATTTTTAATTCGTACTTTATTTTTAGCTTAACATAATTCATTGTAAATTTTGTAACATTTTTCTTAATTTTTAAAATTATGTCATTGAATTTTAAATTACCAAATTTATTGTACGCCCCAAAATTCTTCACGCTCGAAACAAAAAATAATCCCTTTTGGCAGAAAATAGAGATAGAATAATTAAATCATTTGACTATTCAAATAAATTATCTCATCCACTTCAAACATTCTACCTTCAAATCCAAGGTTTGAGACACAACATGCCAGTAACCAAAAACCAGATTTCTGAAAACATGCGAAAATTGATAGCAGACATCATTCGAGTCGTAAAGAGTGTATTATGATGAGAAGGAAAATCATCGGTAACTGTAACACGAGAACCAGGAACATGGCATCATCAACGCAACCTCCTGGCTTCTCTCTCAGACTCTAGTAGAGTAAGAATGTCACCTTCCCTCACAGGTCCCTTGACATTCCTCATGATGTATCGATTCTGATCGTCGAGAAACTTAACTCTCACTTGCGTCACTTGCCCTCTTGATCCAGTTCTACCCATTACTTTGACCACCACAGCGTGTTTGATTTGGGATTCCATTTCTTAAATGAATAGAGGTGATGAGATTGGAGAGGAACCTGGAAATTACAGGCATTTCAACGATCAATAAAGGAGCTATGATGTTGTTTTCAGTTTATAACTTTATACCATCTATGAACAGATCTTTTGCAGATTACATGTAGCAACTGCCATGGATGAGGTTGAAAAAAAAAAGAATGTGAAGAAAACCCAACAAAAACAGCAAGCCACATAGAACTTTCTTAAAAGCTACACCGGAAGGAAACAACAAAGTGTGCATTTTGTCCAAACGCATGCCAGAAGGATGGTTCTCAAATGCTTAAATCATAAAATTCAAATCAATTTCAAGAAGTACATTGCCATATAATCAGAGAACAAAATTCATATGCTCTGAGATTAAACTTCAGTGGAAAATCATAGATGGAAAATAAGCATCATCGCCCAGCAGTGCCTTAACATTAATCAGAGATATTCTAGGAGGTGCCCTTTACTGCAAATCCTTATTGACATTCTCATTGCCACCCATGACAACTCCTATGAGGGCCATCTTGGGGCACAAATTTCTGAAAGGATTCAAATTCTCCATATGAATGAGGGACGACGTTCTTGGAAAGTGAGGCCTCAATATCCCTTTACCCAACTGGTGTACATTTTGTATAGGTAAATGGTTAAATGAAATCAAAGTGTTGAGAGAAACCTTCTCAAATTCTTAGTTATAACGGTACGTTCCTAAACTGCAGGAGTAATTCTACTATGTAGCTACCAAGTAACTTTTATTCAAAGAGAAACAAAGATTTAATGTCAGAATGCCGAATGCCTAAAAGGCAATTCTGAACGATATTTATAATCGCTTTTTATAAATTTCATTTGGAGTCATTTAAGAAGATCCTATTACCTCTACGGCGTCATGACTTCCCCTCTCAATCACAATTCTCATGATTTCAATGAATAATACTGTTTTCTCATATATTATATCAAAGTTCATCAAATTTGTAGTCTACAATATCAAAACTTGAGATTTCTTCTTCATTCTATGAACAGTTAAACAATGTTTCAAAATTAACCTGATGCAGGCAAAAACCTAATCTAGTAACTTTCCAACTCTTTCCTGAGATTTCTAAGGAAGTTTCACCGAGACCTTAGCTTAGCTTCGCTCTTTTCTCCAATAATTTCATACAAATTTAACCCCAAATTGCACATATTCACGTTGACATGCACGATAAAAGCCTAACATAGACATGACCAAATGTCTCTCTCGCTCATAACCAGCAACAACATACAATCTACAAGTTCATGAATGATTCAATACTAGGAACCTCCGAGTCAAATTCTAACATAGGATAACGACAACGATCTTTCAGTACCAAAGAAAGAACGAATCCAACATCCAGAAAACGAGAATCAACTGTCAATATTTAAAACAACAACAAACTAAGCAACCATACATTAAATGGAAACTCATAATGATAACGAATCACAAAAGGAAAAGGAAAAACATAAAAAGCCAAGTTCTTCTCCTTCTTCTTCTTTTACCCAATATAATTGAAAAACAGAACAGATTGAAACGAAAAGACAGAGATATTAAGAAAACAAACCGGCGGCGAAGGATTTTGCAGAGTTTGGATTCGAAATCTCTCGGGCAGAGTTCATGAAGCGGCGGCCAAATCTGTGGTTTTTCGCTTATTTGAGGTTTTTCTGTTTATACAAAGGATTCGGATTTCAGCAGTGAGGCCCAAATTTCGGCCCATTTCACATGGCCCAACTTATGACATGGGTTAGGGCTTCGATTAATAGAACCGTAATCTTTTACATAATTTAAATAAAGTATTATAAAAATCGTTCCATTTTTGTAAAAAATTTTAATACATATCTAAATTTTTATTTTTTTTAATTTAATAGTTATTTTAACTTAAAAAATGTATAATAAATCATTAATTTATTTCAATTTTTAAATTTTTGGATGATAAATCGATCACAAATTTTCATATCATATTATTAATTTTGAACGAACTACAGTTAAGAAAAAGAAGATTCAAATCGAAGAACTTCAAGATTCTTATAGGATCATAAGATTCTATGACCAAAAATATTTTGAGAATCGAAGCCCTTCAAAATGAAGACATGAAAACTTCGAGTACCGAAATTTTGTTGAAAGATCTCTAAAGATACTCTGCAAATAAGTTGAAGACCAAAGTTGAAGACTTTCACAGTTTTTCAAGAAGATCAACAAATCAAGAACCGGTCTAAGAAGACTAACAATCTTAACATGATAATGGAAGTGGTCTCACAGTTGAAACATGCAAATTCAATGAAATTGTTGTGTTGTATGATTATTATGTGTTATTTGATAATGTTATGACTTATTTATGATCGTGTATGATTCTCAAGGCGCCATGAGTTGAAGAATGTTTAAAATGTCATGGTAATGTATGTTAACCTCGTAGAAAATGTATGACATGATAATGTATGAAATCATGTTTTTTATACGAAACCTCATGCATGTTGTATGTATATCGACCATGAATTATTTCTCCTCATGTGTTTGTATAGAGGCATATCTATAACAATGATTTTAGGTCCTATTTGTTTTTGTGGTTAGACTCAGCAGAGTGCGTAAGCCTATATATAGGTCTTCGATCTACAAAAACAGGATATTCACATAGTCGGTCTACATGTATGTTCATGAGTCATACGTAGAAAAGTACTATATATCCAAGTACTAATAGAGATGTCTAGCTTTGTGAGGATCTGCCCCAAACAGGGTATGGTTTCTCTGTTTGGACGAGGAATGGGAGAGAGGGTGAGAAACGTTCCCCGTCAGATAAATGGAGTCAAGGATGCGATTATATTCTCCCATTTCCGTCCACGTACATGCATAGATACATACATATAGAAACCCAGAAAAATGAGGAACTGTAGAAATCAACCAAATGATTGCATAAATGGCGACTCCAAAACACTTGCAAAACGAAACAAAGAAGATAACTAATGAGCAAAGAAGATAAATGGGTAGTCTTCCAGCAGGAAACAGGCAATGAATTCAATAACTCAAGTATTCTACAAATGGGAACTTCTCAGATTTCTTCATCCCAAAATAAATCAAGTTTACAGAGGGCAGACACAATCAAGTTCACGAGATGGTTTTTTTAAACAATTAAACTCGAGAGTGAACTGGCGTTCGTACCTCATGAAGTGTAGCTGACTCAACTGGCAAGATTTCCTGCATTCATATGTATGCTGCTCAAGCTCTTGAAGTACCACCATGCTCCCTCTCGATATGCTCCACGAGCGCAACAGGATCAACAAATCCTCTACTACACTTCGGACAAGCATCGATTACTACCTTCTTCGCCCCAGGTCGATTGCCACCCTTTTCGTGGACTTTTTCGACATGGTCTATTAACGATGAAACTGACGAAAACTTAGCACCACATTGTGGACATTGCTCGACTTGTCCATTTGCACTTCCGTTGCTGCTGCTGCTGCTGCTTTTTGTTTTCCAAGCATGATTGATTTCATTCGACAACTTCGTCATGCTCGCCTCGGCTGAGGCTTTAACAGATGAGGCTGCATTAAGGAGGGATGTAGTCCAACTAGAGGAAGATGTTGTGGGGGGCAATGCTCTCTTAGGGCCCTTCTCTTCTTTTCTACTTCGACTTAGAAGACCAACAAATGGAAAGCCAGCTGGTTCTGGTTTTTTCGGTCCCGAACACTTATGGTCGGGTCCAAAACGGTGCTTCAAACAATGGTCTACCAAGCAATCCCGGCACTTAATCGTGTTTGAAAACGTTAACAACTCCCTGCAGCCAGGTACTGGGCACTTTTTCTTCTTTGTGACTTTATCATAATTTGAAGGATCACATTCAGTGTTTACGTGAATCTCCCACGTAATGTTCGGGTCTTGATCGGGAATGAGACGAACTCCTTTGGCACAGAGCGGACAAATGACAACAGTAACATCACGCCTATCAGTTTTTGGACAACTATGCCTATTGTAGCTACGATGCTCCAAACAGAAGACCTGTAAAAAGGCTTTATGATCAATTACTAACACAAACCAGACCATAAGTGTTCAGTTCTCTCACAGAGGGTTTCTTTAGTTACGAACACATGGAATTCAGGGTTCGCATTGTTGGGAGGGAGTCCACGTTAGCTAATTTAGAGAATGATCATAGATTTATAAGGAAGGAATACATCTCTGTTGGTATGAGGCCCCTAGGAAAGCCGAAAGTAAAGTTACGAGAGAGAGATTATGCTCAAAGTGGACAATATCATACCATTGTGGAGATCCGTGATTCCTAACATGGTATTAAAGTCATGTTCTTAACTTAACTATGTCAATAGAATCCTAAAATGTCAAACAAAGAAGTTGTGAGCATACTCAAAAGTGACTGAAGTATCAAACAAAGGTGTAATTTGTTTGAGGGCTCCAAAGAAAGGAGTCGAGCCTCGATTAAGGGGAGGGAGGTTGTTCGAAGGCTCCATAGGCCCTTAGAGAAGGCTCTATAGCGTACTTTGTTCGAGGGGAGGATTGTTAGGAGAAAGTTCTACGTTCGCCTAATTTAAGGAATGATGAATACATCTCTACTAGTATGAGGGGAAGCCTAAAGTAAAGCCAGGAGAGTTTATTCTCAAAGTGGACAATATATACCATTGCGTAGATCCGTGATTCCTATCAAATTTGCAACAATCAAACCATATCATTAGAAATTAAGATTAAGCTTGAAAATGAAACCCTAGGAGAACCAGAGAAACATAAGAACTGTGAAGAATGAAACCCTAGGAGAAGCAGAGAAACATAAAAACTTCCATTCTTCACAGCTAAAATTTTGTATATCATAGAGCCGACCATTTGTTCATCAAACCAAGTCAAAGCAAACATATATTCCCAAGAACAAGAGAAACCATCCTAAGACTCAAATCAAACAAATCACTAAAACAGAATCAAAATTACACAGTGATAGCACATAGATTCAAATCAAATATCCAGAAAGTAACAGAAGGATGGAGAACCTGGTGACAACAATCGCAAGTAAAGGGCAAGAAATCGATCTGCTTACAATCTTCAAAGCTGCAATGCTTTCCAAGATTAGGGAATTCCGGAGTTCCCATACCCAAATCAAAACGAAGCAGATTTTCGATACGAGATTGAGAAATTCTGGGCTGAAAAACAAGATTATAAACAGAAGAAGAAGGAGAAGAAGGAGAAGAAGATGCCTGAAACTGGGAATCGGAAATGAAAGTGAAATGGGTCTGAAGATTTAAGTTTCCGCGTATTGGGAGGAAGGCGAAAACGAAAAGCTTCAGAGGAATAGTCTTCCAAAAGTGTAGTTGGGATTAATTTGACCCTTTCCCCCAATTTCCGGTTCGGATTTCAGGAATTCAGTGTATAATCAGGACTGAATTCCCCTTCAATTCAGAGTTACTTTATTTACTTATTGGATGGATTTGGATATTATTCTTTGAAACTTCCCTTGTTTGGGTTCATTCTCGAGTTGGATTAGGAGCGATCTTTAGCTAATTATCAACCTGTTTAGTTGACTTTAGAAGATTCTAGTCACCCACACAACATGTTTTCTCTCTATAACATAATCTTTAGCTAATTATCAACCTGTTTAGTTGACTTTAGAAGATTCTAGTCACCCACACAACATGTTTTCTCTCTATAACATAGTGTTATGTCGCTTGAATTAGGATTACTCTAGATGATCAGCAATCGAACCAAATGCCAAAATACATCCCTTCCCATTGCTTTCCCAGATTCTAAATTCCGGAGCTCCGGCGACATAATGAGTTTACTTCACGAGGTCTCCACGGAGGCAACTTTCCAATTTTTTTTTTAGTATAAATTAAACTATTGACGTGAAAAAGGAGGAGAAGAAGAAATCTAACAAGTTTTCTTATTATGACTCGGATATATTGTTTTTTGAGTCTCGAGGAAGAATAGAAGAATTACGCCTCAACCCCATGGTCCTGAACTAGACAGAATATCCCTCCTATTTAAAACATATGTATTTTATTTAAATCATATTTAAATAAAAATATTACATTATTTAATGAATATGAACCCTATCAAATCTAATAAATATATTTTCTTCTCACGAATGTTGAAAAGAAAATTTATATTTATCATATGAGAATCATGTACTTTAACATAAGCTTGGGTAGCAAGAGCATGGATGGTATACTATTCTTTTGAGTAATCTCACATAACGAGATATTCGCCCTCCACTCCAGGGATGTTAGAAAAATGAATATGTTCGATCCTAATTTGATCTTTTGAAGATCGACATATTTAAGAAGAAATTTTACATCATCATCCTTAAATACATAGGAATTCATGCTCCAACGCTATAGGTATGAAAGATTGAAACGAAACATTAAGGGTATTAAAACATTTTTCTAACAGACACGTTTTAAAATGATAAAGTTAAAACAGTAATGAATCAAAGTATTACAAATGGTATCAGCTTGCAAGTAGTGTCCCAGCCCTTAACATACCAATTAAGATATTCTGCTGGAAGGACAATGAACCAAAAACTTGGGAAGTACAGAAATATCCCAAAAACATTTCCTAGATGGTTATGAAGTTTTTGGGTTACTTAGTACGCTTCAAGTTGATTGTTTTCATGCAAATTTCAGTCCCAAATACCATTAAGTGATACAGATCAAATCAGCATACGATCACACATTAATTCCAATTGATGATTACGAATAATTCACCACTTCATATTAGCTTGCTTGGAGAATATATGAATAGAATATATTAAAAAAAAAAAAAAAAAAAACTCATTTTGGTGTTGTGTTCTTGTACGAAAAATTAGTGCATTCATCAAAATCAAGCTTTTATGCCATAGGATTCAGAAACAAAAACAAAAACAAAGTCAAGTAGCATTAGGAAATAAATAACACACTATCCTTGAAAGTAAATGAACTCAAATGAAGAGCATATACTATAAGAGTTCCTAACAAAAACATTCTTCTTTTCTCGAAACCATACCATATCTATGCTCCCCTTAAGCATTAACCCTCTCGGCATCATCCAACAACAATGCCTTCACAGTAGGTTTAGCCAACAGATCCGTGTGCTCTTGGAATGGAGATTTTGTGAAGCGAGTCTCCTTCCAGAACTCGGGTGTCAGGAAACCATAGGTTTTCAATAGACAATCGAAGGTAGCCTGCCAAAATGGAAGCATTAGTATAGACAGAAGAAATCAACTCAAAAACTTACAACAAACATCAGAAAATGGCCATACAAATAAAGAATTTGTTCAAGTAACTAAACCCAGTTTAGAACAGAAATCTTCCACCTTCACGCACAGTAAATATGCACAATTTCATTAAAAATTCAATCCAAGTAATCTAATCACAAGAAATATTTGAAGTTTTTTAGCATGATCATAGAAGTGGCATATTTAAAACCAAAACATAGTTAATTCCACTTGATTATCATAAATGTTATGCAAACGATTGATGAACAATCCAGATCACTAATATAATCAACCAGAATAAACTAATTAATATATACATAATTTCACGAAGCAGCAGAATCAAGACATACAAGCTATTATAATGGACACCTTAAATTCCAGCCATATAGATATAACAGAACGGATGATATAGACAATGCATCAAAATATAATATACCTTCACAAAGTTTCCAAGTGTCTTAGTTGATCCCCTGGAAGAAGTGAAAACATCATCAATTCCAGCGAATTGAAGCACCTTCTTGGGAACCCTAGCCGCGACGATACCAGCACCACGAGGAGCAGGAACCATACGGACTGTAACAGAGCCACACTTTCCAGTAACCTTGCAAGGCACAGTATGAGGCTTCCCGATCTTGTTACCCCAGTAACCCCTCCTCACAGGAATCACCGACAACTTGGCCAATATAATCGAACCACGAATAGCAGTAGCAACCTCCTTGCTGCACTTCACTCCCAATCCAACATGGCCATTGCCGTCACCGACGACAACGAAGGCCTTAAAACGGGTCCTCTGTCCGGCCCGGGTCTGTTTCTGCACCGGCATGATCTTCATAACCTCATCCTTGAGGCTAGGTCCAATGAGAGTATCAACGATCTGGTGCTCCTTGATAGGAAGAGAGTGGAGGTAAATCTGTTCAAGTGACTGAATCTTACCTTCCTTGACGAGCCGCCCTAGCTTGGTGACTGGAACCCACTTCTCCTCTTCGTCACGGCGGCCAGCACGACGACGGCCACGGCCACGGTCGCCACCACGACCTCTGCCGCCAAAACCTCTGCCGAAGCCACCGCGGTCTCCTCCTCCTCTTTCAGCCATGATTAAGATTCAAAAATGCGGCTGGAGAGAACTTAAGGAAAGATTGAAGCTTGAAAGAGAGTGGGAGAAACAACCCTAAAGAAGGAATTTATATATGAGAGTTATTGGGAGCTAGGGTTTTGATGGGTCTGCATTTGAGGGTGTTTGGATACAGGTTTAGAATGAACTGGACCAAATCTATCTCAGGCCCAGCTTGAGAATCCGATCCAGTTGGATTAGGCCCAACTAAATTGTGAGTTTTTCTTTTAAAAAAATATTTTTTACCTATAAAAATTAAGAAAATTATTACATATTTTAAATTTTTTATTGAATACCTAATTTTAAGTTAAAAGATATATCAAATTTAAAAATTAAGATATTAAACATGAAAGTATATTACTTAAATTAAAATTGGCAACATATGCTTAACCTAATCATTTTTAATTTACTCGATTTATTTTAAAACACAAGTTTATATGAACTAAAACACATCGTCTACCGTTTAAACAAAACCTATTTGTGTAATAATATTTTTAAAAAATCAAACTCTCCAAATCGCAGAATTCATGCAATCATAATCAACTATGTTTAGTATCGTTTTTTCACTATGTAATGCTTGTTTTAGGATAATTAGATAGATTGATTTCTCGTAATACTTCAAATGTCATTGGTTAAATTATAAAGCATTGAAGCATTGTGAAAAACTACCGATGTTTATAAAGCATTGAAGCATTGTGAAAAACCCACGATTATGAACACAGCTCTTGTAAAAGGGTAAAGTCATGATTATGAATTTGGGACCTCGTGCATATTATATGTTCATGTGATTATGGTTTATTTCTCCAGTTATGTATTGTATGGACGCATACACGCACCAAGGAGGCACGTTATAACGAGCTTATTTAATGGATCCATGTGCATGAATCGTGTTGTAGAGAAGTATTATGCATCAAACCTTTCGCGAATATGAAGTAGATCTCAAGAATAGCTATGACTTTAGATCCCATGTTCATAATATAAGTTGTATGTGATTGTATTGCCCGACCTAAGTGATTAAGCAACCAAATTCAAACTCTCTCGACTTGAACTTTCGAGCTTTTTCTTACACTTTCTTTAATACTTCTTTCGAAATCAAGATTGCAAAAATGGATATGAAGTGAAGAAGCCTTAAATAAAGAACCAACATCATAGTTTATACTCAATACATGAGAAGAAAAAATAATAAGCATCATGTGTCTATCAGTTTTTATTTGTACATACAAGAAGGAACACTGAGTGGGAGGGGGGAAAAAAATTTGAAGATCATCATCAACTTCTGCAATGAATCTCTTCCATAACTTCAAACTCAGAAACACAGCACCAAATAAATTAATTTAAATTCTGTTGTGGATAGATAAGCTAGATTTGTACCTTTATGAGCTTTTTGATTCCAGTTCAGGGGATGAAAACACAAGAGAAGCCGCACGATCTGGATCAAGTTTTTGTTTGAGACTACTGTTGTTCTATCTTCATTCATATGTATAAATGTATTCCCTTTAGCAGTTGATTCCACACTGTTCGACGTCGGGGCCAGTTACTCGGGTTGTGAAGGGATCAATCCGAACCCATAAAAGGGAGAAGATTGAGGCAAGGAGGATGGACCATACAACCACGATCGTCGGAGTTCGGTTCTGGCGACCCATCAGACCCTTGAGGAAGGGATACAGATGGATAATCACCCAGAAAGCGAAGAACAGCTTGCCGAAAAGGGGACCCCAGGATTGATAGCCACTGTTAATGGCGTAAGAAATTCCAGCAACAACACCAACTATGTTGATAATGAGGAGAGTAGTTGGGGGAATGAGAAGAGTGGTCCATTTGAACATGTAGAGCTCAGCAAAATCTCCATCTTCGTCGGATGCCTTCGAAGTAACCGTGAAGTTCGTATCAATTCCAGCAAGAACTTTAAGCAGACCTTGGAACACGGCAAACAGATGGGCCGACACACCTCCGATAAC